GCTGGGTTAGTGATGTGGCGCTCTTTTGTTTATAAAGATAATTCTAACTCTCTGGGTTATATGATTCCAGGTGTTCCTCCAATAGAGGAATAGGATGTATGTGCTTTTGGGAGAAACTAGAGGAAGAAGTAGAGGCCATGCCTAAGAGCTTCTCATGTCTTTTTGCCCTGAAGACATTTCTTGACCACTACATTGAGTTTTGTAGGCAGAGATTGTCAGTGATGCCTCATGCTCCCTACTTGAATGGGAAAAGTTAGTTTAGCCTCTGAAGAAAAAAATAGTATTTATGCTGATACTTTTAGGAAGATTATAGCAGTGCCCTGCTTTGATTGATTCATGGAGAATGATATATTCTTGGCTAGAGTCTTTTTGATATTTAGTACTTTTTCCTGACAAAGGAAGTTGTTAGATTTGGGGTGATTCTGCCATGTCTGTACTTGAATATTTTTTTTTAAAACATCTCACTGTAATTGTACTTATGGATTACACTCATCACCCTGAATTTTATAACTTTTTTTTTCCTTTAAAATAGTTTAATTTCCTGCTTTTTTGGTGGGGTCTTGGTAGAGAAAGCCACAACCTTCTTTTGACACTCCTACTTTTGCTGACAGCACTGCTTAGATTTTGCGATATATTTAAAAATGGGTTCAGGTGAGGTTGGCTATGATTCTCACTCAGTTATTAGTGGAAATAGGCATTGGATAGTTCAGTGTCAGGCAGACAGAGGAGTGATAATTCTGGGGAAGTGTTCCCAAATGGGAGTGGCTGTTCTCGTACTGGGTAGCAGGTACAGCTTACACATCCACAACCTTAAAGAGACCTGACTGCATGCGGCTGAAGGCTGTATTTCCCCTTATGAGCCTCAGGGTGGCGAAAGAGTCCATGGTGTTGAGGCTGAAAGGTGAGTGGGAGCAGAGGTCTGTCAGAATTAGCAGCTTCAAGGGTGGGCATTCTGGATGGGAACCTTAGTGTTTTGACATGGGATAAGGCAGTCTCCCGTTGGAATGTGAGCTGGAATCTTGCTGATGTACATCAGTGGAGATTGGTGTCAGAGTGTGTGTGCAGTTTGTGTGGTGCACGGTGTGGTATGTGCTGCAGTAGCTGTGGTATGTGAAGTGTGTGCGCGTGCTACAGAAACTGCTTGATGTGCACGCTGTGTGGTGTGGAGACTTGTGGCCCTTTCTCTGGACGGTCTTGAGCTCCTACAGTGGAGGAAGCTTTTTTTTCTTGGTAGTTTTGTTTTGTATTTTAGAAAATAAGAGTTTTCCTTGGTAGAACATAGTTGTTGATGTGTCAGTTTTTACAAGAGACCTTAAGGCTTGATGTGCAAGAGTCAGAATATTTTTAAATTTTGTTTCTTTTTGAACATGAGGGATTTGCACATTGCCACTTCTTATCCTCATCATTGTCATCTCAATATCCTCTCTGTTCCTCATTCCCATTTTAAAGATGAGAAACCTGAGGCCCAGAGGGCTTCACGAAGTTGTGTAAGGCCAACCAGGAGGGAGTAGCCTTCAAGTTAAGGGTTATCTTGTCTCACAGAACTGTATTGCTTCTTTCTTACCACATGCCTTGTAGTGTTAGATCACCCTTACCTCTCTCCCCCATAGAGGCTTGAGAGAGTTCTTAGAAAGTATTTTTATGTCCCCTTTGAATGCTCTGGGCCTTTTATATCCTGGTTTCTGTATGGTTTGTATTTGTTGTATTTCATGTAGTACTGATTCTATTAAAAGTAAAATCTTAAAAATAAACTAATATAATTTAATATGAGTTTTTTGGGGGGAAAACTGGTAAGATATATATTTTTGAGAATATCGGATGATTCTACTGCACATTTAATTCACTTAATGTGAAAGTAAGGGCGAGTTTTTGGTAATACATTTTTCAACTGGATAGATTCTAAGATCTATAGGGTATTGAGTGTTCTCTCAACGTGTTTATGAAGGGTGGGTGTGAGGAGTGAGCATGTCTAGAGTGAAGATTCAGGATACCTTATCTCTCTGGGGAGGTGCTTCTCACATTTGGCCACTCGGAATCACCTGGAGAGTATTACATGTTGATTCTGGGTCCCTTCCGTAGAGATTCTAATTAAATTGGTCTGGGACATGGCTTGAGTATCTTGATTCTAAAGTTCTAGGAGATCCTAATGTGCAGCCGAGCGCCTTCTGAGAACCATTCTCTCAGTGCCACCCGAAGAAAAGGGACCACAGTATTTGTTGCCTTCCCTTCTTGCTCCTTACTCCAGCCAAGGGTGAGAGTGTTCTGTTGTTAGAGCACCAGTGGTTAGATGGTGAGGTGGACCAGGCTGGGAGGGCTTTTATCTCCTTAAGCACTGAGTGAGTGTCTCAGGGAACAATTTAGTGTGCTAAATGTCCTGGTCGTTCTCATACACAGACTGACTTATTTTTGCAGAGATATTTTTATCAAAATTCTAATGAGATGTCTCTCTTGTTCTCATAGTACAAAAATTCTGTGTACCCTAAGATTTTTCTGGTTTTGCTTTTTGTTGAATAGATTTCGATTTTAGGGCATAGTCTAATATATTTCTCTGGAGAAGTACTTTACTCAAAACATTTTAATTGCTTCAGAATATGTGTTATTTTTTTCCCTCTCAATGGCAAGCATTTGTCTCATTTCATTGTGTAGCTTCCTGTTAAGATATGTAGGGTATATGTGAATTCACTTAGTTCTGACGTCACATTGAATTCTATTGGTGGGCACTTTTCGCCAACCAGACGCTTCCTGGTGTTGGTGTCCAAGTAAGAGAGATATATAGTTCAGGAATAACAGGAAACTTCAGTTTTCAACATCCTGTTTTTCTGGGCTTTGTGACTCGCCGCCTTACCACAATGAAGGTTAGTGGACATTTTATATATATTTCTTTTTGTAGAATATCACAGTTTTAATTTTCCAAGCTCTAGAATTAGAACTTTAGAGCTGAAAGACAGACATGCAGATTACCTGTTCCAGCATTTTACAAGTAAGGGAACTTTCATGTTCTCTATATAAGGAAACCGAGGCCTAGTGAGGTTAATACTTTTAATTATTTAAAAAAATGCAACTAACACATTAAAAAAATGTATGTGTATATATCAGCTTAAGTAATGCTCTTATTTGATTTAGAATTTCTTCTTAAGTAATAGTTAACACAACAAATGAATTAAATTCTGTATTATAAAGTGATTCTTAAGACTGTTTTCGGGGGTACTTCTTTTTATAGGAAGGATTTGGCATCATGAATTTGTACTTCAACTATTTGAGAAATGCATCATTAACTTTATACACAATGCTTAGATGTATTCATATTGCTTAAGTCTTCTGGCTCCATTTAGTTTCCTTTTTCAGTTTTTGGAAAAGTGAGCTTCAGCTCCTCTCTGCACTCTGATTTGATTGCCTCCCTGAAGTTTTTCAGCATCTGGATTCCCCCCCTTTTTTTTGTTTACTCATATTTAATTATACCTTATAATTTTTACTCATTATTTCGGAAATTAAATGCAGAAGATCATTAACTGAAGATGATTTTTTGAAGAAGATAGCAATACTTCAGATTTGCACTAGTTCTTAGGTGCTCTTTGTGTGAATGTCACTTATAGTGACATTTAGTGCAGCTAAATGGTAGATGAGTGGATGGATTGGTGCATTTATCCATTTAGCAAACATTTGAGTTTTTACTGTGCCGACTGTTTTGCTAGATGTTTGGTGTTGTAAAATCTGCTTTTGTAGATTTTACAGTCTGAGGTGGCATATACACATTGAATATAAAATTGTCTTTGTTTTTGAATGAATGTACTGGCGGAGCCTGATTAGGGGACCTGAGTATGGTGAAGGAAGCGAGGCTAGGAGAAGTCAGATGAATTCAAGTTCAATGGGAAAGAGGGTGGCGGCAGGGAGGCAGGAAGTTGGGGGGGGGGTGATTCCTGGCAGGACCTGTGAGATGGAGGAACTGACTAAATGAGGAGAGAGGTGGCAGGCAACTGGGAGAGGAAGTCGAGGCCCTCTCCGCTGATATTCCTGGGTGACTCGTCATGTTTGTTTATTTTTGTCCCAGTGAGAGAAACTTTTGAAGTATGTTAATTTATATTTCGGTATCTAAATATTATATCTTGTTATAAAAATTTGAAAGAAGTTTTAAATATTTTTCTGGCACAGAGTTTTCTGGCACAGACTATTAAAATTTCTTTTTTGGGGGGGTTATTTGGTGATCAAAAGATATATATATATGTGTGTGTATATATATATTGTAGTCTTCAGATAGTATTTGGCAATGAGATCTGTGTTTTAACGTGTGTACACGCACATTGTAGACTTAGCTGTAAGGTATCCAAGCAAGCTGATGGCGCTTTTTTCAGCTTGTGTGTGCATATGCGCGTGTACAAGCTGGGACTAACTCCATCTTTCCCCATTTCTCTAGGTGGTGGAGATTGGAGAAAAGGCAGATTAGATAGTCCTGGTCTGGCCTCAGCACTCTGCCCTGAGAGTGGAGTGTCCCCTGCTGCCCCACTTCCCCAGACTACCTGCCTTCATTTTGGAATCTGCATCTCCTGTCTTCCCTTCCTTTTATTCTCATATCCATTCTGATGTCTGCGGATTTCTCAAAGCTGCTGTTAGCTTTGGAAGCTACCGAAACTAGGAGAGGAAATCTGTAGTATGCATGCCCTGCTGTCTCTGCTTTAATCTAAGGCGAGAAAGATTGTGAAATCACTCCAGCATTCACTGAGTGCTACCAGAATCAGCTCCCTAACCTGGGAAGGGCTCCCACATTAGGTTATAAAGGAGGATGGGGAGTTGTTCTCAGGCTGAGGATTAAGGTGGCCTAAATGGGATTCTAATTGGACCTGCTACTCTTATACCACAAGCTGAGCTCACTAGTCCTGGTTTGTGTCTCATCTTTAGGATATCATCTGTAAATCCTACACATGGCCCTCTCGTTGCTGTGAGAACTTTATCTTACATCCAACACAAGACTCTACTAATTTTGCTTATTTAATTTTTCCTTTCAGACGTTTGATGCAAACGATTTGTATCAGGGGCAGAATTTTAACAAGGTCCTCAGTTCCTTAGTGACTCTAAATAAAGTAACAGCAGGTAAGACCTTTTTCAGTTGAACTCAGGGGGGCGGGAAGACAACAGGGCAAAAACCTTTGCTTTTCTATTAGCAAGGCAAAAATGAGCATTATTGAATTAAAAAAATAAGCTTGTATTGCATTACATTTTTGTTGTCACTTTTGCTGTAATTTTTTTTTTCCTTATTGGATCAGAATTTCCCATTTTAAGTCCTCAGATGGATATCGGGTGTTTTCTTTTCTGTGGGCAGAGTGATCTCTACCTGAAAGTATAGCAGTGGAGAAACATCTTGTTCATATGGCTACACTCATGGGCTGTCTTGGAGCTAGAAGCACCTTTCTCTGGGATTTTTATTAAAAATTAATATTTTTACACTGATTAAAACTCATATTTATTAGCAGATCTAGTGAGTGTTTTTGAGGTGTGATCATGACAGTGGAGTAACCAATGGGTTGGCCTTTAAAGTAAATACTTACTTAGGACAGGTTTCCTGAGGGCTATAAGGCACTTAGGATACTCAGTTTACAGTGTTTTGAGCCCCAGTCATATCATAGGGAGGGGTGATTGAAGGCAGAGACACAGTGTGCTCCTCTGTGGGCTCCCAGACCGCAGGGAGGCAAGGAAAGGTTCTGAGCAGACTCCTCTAGGGGAGGCTATGCCAGTCCCATGAGCCCCGAGAAGTTCTGTCTGGGAGAGCCGTGTGAATCAAAAAGGATTTAGTAGCTCTTTTATTTTAAAGTCATTTTTATTTTTCTATTTACCTTTACAGATTTTAGTTTCAGATTTATAGGGGAAAGTTAGACTTTGATATGTCTCTTTCGATCAGAAACCGCTTGTTTATTTTGTCATTGTCTCTTCTCATTTTTGTTCTGGCCCTTCTGATGGGGTGTACTTACCTCATTGTGTCCGGGAGAAACTGAGTCAGAACATTTTAGGCTACAGTCCTGTCAAAAGGGTCCTCCGTGCTCAGGGACCATCCCTGGTGCCCGCTCACAGCACTCTTTTGCTGGGTGGCCATCCAGGGACTGTCTCACTACCTGTGCTTCAAGAACAGCTGGAAATCTGGGTTTTCCTATGATATCCTCAGACTGAAGTAGTTGACAAATATATAAAAATTTTATGATTGTAAGCCAATCCAAATGGTTCTGCCAGAAAAATAGATCTGGAGACCATCAGTTTAAGGATATATTTATAGAAGGCTCCCCATGTAGCTTTTAGGAAGTTGCTAGGCACATGTATCTCAGAATAGTGATTTCCTTAGGAAATTTTTCATGTCCTCAGTTTTTTAAAAAAATTACTTTTAAGAAGTGGGTTGCTAATGTTTACTTATTAGTTGGCCTAAGTGGAGTGTCTAATCATGAAGACTCTAGAGAGAGAACTAAGCCCTTTAATACTTGTTTGCTTTGATCCTTTCAACAACTTTATGAGGTGAGTAAAGCATGGGCTACCTTCATTTTGAAGAAAAAATCCTCAGAAGGGTCTCTGGCTGAAAAATACAAGGGGATTTTCTGTTGCTTTTAAATAAGGGTCTTTTGTTGCCAAATAATTCTTGCTGCTTATTGTGTGAAGTGTGATCCTGAAGAAGTGGGTGTGCAGTGGTGATGTCTTGGGAATGAGACCTGGGTGGTACTCAAAGTATTTGAATTTGAGAGGCTTATTTTTTCCAGACGAAGGGAAACTATTAAAAACAACAGAACATTTCACAAATTTGAAAATTAACCTAGAGAAGAACTGATAAATAGTTGTCTTCAGTTAATTTCTGGAAAGGTGATTGGGGAATGAGTACAAGTCATTTCTGTAGCAGATAGAATCTGTACTTTGTTTACTGCATAAATGGCTTGCTTTGTTGGCGGTCTGCGGTGTGTCCCTTGGTGGCTGCCCCATTTTAGAGTCTGGTGTGCAGTGAGGGTACGTGGTATCAGGCATCTCAGCTCCTTTTCTCTGTTCACGACCTTTTCAGACATTGGACTGGGAAGTGACTCTGTGTGTGCCCGGCCCTCATCTCATCGGATAAAGTCTTTTGACTCCCTGGGATCCCAGCCTTCACACAGTCGGACTTCAAAATTGTTCCAGGGCCAGTATCGAAGTTTGGTAAGTTTGAGAGAGTTGGTTATTGAAATTGGAATGTGTTGGGGAAATGAATGCGTGTAGGTGTATCAGGAACAACGCACGTGCCTCTGTTAAGAGTTGCAGTGCGAGGGGCGGTTTGACTTTGCTCAGGTTTGGCGTTTGCTCATCACCAAATTAATCGGATGCTATGCTTAATGACTGCTTTTGAGAAACTTGTGTATTTTGAGGGTTACATTTTAAGATTCACCTGTATCTACAGAGATGTGTGCTTTAAATAGTTCCCTGATCACTTGCATAGTATTTTCTCATCTGCTATGTACAGATGTACAGAACTGTGGGAATAAGAAATAAATACATGTAAAAATACTTAGCTGTATAAAGAAGAAATAGCTAAAAGCTAAAAAATCTAAAGGTGGGTTTTCTCTTTATGGAAGCATAACTTAGAGTGCTTTACCGAGTCAGGATGTAGTATATGAAGGGACTCCCTTGAGTAATGAGGTGGGTAAGAAACTTAGATTAACAGTCATCCTGGAAAATGAAGAAAAACCCATTTATAAATTGTCAGGATACAGGCTCTGAACAAAGAAGAACATAGGATTAACAGTGAAACTGGAACTGAAAATTGAGTGTAATACTGAATGGAGAAAGTGTGGAAAGGGGCCATCAAGTCAGCTGACAAGGATGAGGCAGCTCTGATTGTCATTGTGAAAACATGCTGAGCCCTCTTTTGAGCTAATGGGTGATTGGCACTTAGTTTGATCAGCAAGTGATGTGACTTTGTTTTCATGTAACATTTTAGTAAATTATTTTGTTAGAATCATGATCTTGTCACACAAATTTGAAGAGAAGTCAATTCTTTTAGTTTTCAGAGAACCACAGCTTTCTGCTTTAACACAGGAATATTGTTAAGTAAGCTAATGGTAATCCTAAAGAAATAAAAATTAATTTGGTTAGGGGTGTATTTTGTAGAGTGAAATAAATTTGAGTTTAGTTCACGAAGCAGTATTAAAAACAAAGTTACAGAGGAATATAGTTTTTATGTGTTCTGAAATTTTTGAACTCAAGCTGATTGTGTTTATCTTTGACTGTTTTTCCTCTTAGAGGAGTCCTCTTATCCTGTTTCGGATTTTGTATACAATATAACATGCATTGAGTCGTTTTGCTATGTGCCAGACATTATTCTAGGTGCTTTACCTGGACTAAAATAACCCTCATAGTGAGTATGTGAGGTGTAGGGTTTAATGGTAGAGGAATTTTGCAGAGTATTGGGAATGTTATGATTCCAAATTAAAAAAAAATACACGAACCACTTGAAAAATATTTTAAATTAGCTTTGTTAAATACATGAGCAAAATGTAAGAGAAATCAGTGAACTTTGGGTAAAGAAATACTTGCTGTCTCATCTATTCACTTGCGGTGTTTTCATCTTTATTTTTGTTTATTTTTGACTAAATGAGGACTGGATTGCAAATGTAGAATTTGAAGTAAAGGTAAATGTCATGTGGGTAACGAATGTTACCGAGATCACAATAAGTGTAGGATTAATTTTTCATTAGAGAAATTTTTTTAAGTTACACTAGAAATGAAAAGACCTCAGCTGCATCACCTGTCTTTGTGTCTATGATTGGTAAACACAGCTCCTAGTGAAATGAACATGGCGAGACTTCTCTTACCATGCTGGGTAAGAATAAGTATTTGCCCTTATTTTTCTGTGTGTATTGTTAATAGTACTTTGAAGTGATTTTCTTGGATTAAAAATAATTTATAATGAAACAAGTGGCAAAATGTTTATTTAAAGCTGGGTGATGGGCACATGGAGGTATACCTATCATTCTCTACTTTCATGTTAAGAAGTTTTCCATAATAAAAACAATTAAGCTAAAAAAGCAACTTATAGTTTCTTGAACATTAATTTTGTGATCTCATTAAATTTCAGAGCCTAATTTTGAAATTGTGTAAGGCACTACCATCCCCAAAGTAAGGATCAGTATTTTCAGGGTGCAATTGTAATTGCTTGCATCTCTGTTTAAGAATGTCTTCCCTAACTACTACCTTGGTGCTGGTTGTCTGCATAATCTTGTGTCTGTGTCTGTGAACTCATCATCTATCTGTTCTGGGACAGATTTTTCTGCCTATAGTAGAGGCAGATTTGAATAATTCTGGTGTTTTGTTTGCACTGAAGTAGAACTTTTAACTTTTTTACCATGGCGCTTCTCAGTTGCTTTCTATTTCTTTCTTGGGTGATTTCTTAACTTCTTTTTAATATCCTGTTCTAAATCGAGCTCTTTATCTGACCCTGTGCTCTGAATGTACCTCTCACTCCCAGAAAGTGACTCCATAATTGAATGAGAGGGGGAGACTCAAGCTCTTGACTTGGGTCATAGTTTTTCTCATATTTAAGGTTGACTTCCTCCTCTTTTATTGTTAAATGACTTTTATTGAATACATTTGGGATTTCTCATGTCCCTGCTGTACCCCAGGTCTTCATTTGTTGACTCCTAATATGTATGACCTGGGGCTTCTGAGGTTTTCCTCAAAGTTTGGGAGAATATTTGAGAGGTTGTTGCTGTCATCATCTTTAACTTATAGGAGAAGAGACCTGAGCCCTTAAAGCATTTCCTCTCCTGCGGTCCCTACTGCCTCCTTCGGGCCAGCACTGGTTATTGAGTTCACAAAATTTATTTCCAAGCCATGCAAGGTATATTAAAATGTATCATGTTTTTAAAAAATCTTTTCAGTTCCTCTGTACCATTAACAAAGTATACCATATTTAATCAATTCTAAGAAACTACTTAAGCGTTTCTTCTGTAAATGAGATTATAGTACCTTTAAGGAATGGAGGAGAGAATGGAGTTTGTGTTAAGGCAGCACACCAGGATATCTTGGTTCTGGATTATTGGGATAATTTCAGAACTCTAGGTAAAATAAAGTACTTGATTAAGTTATAGATGCATAATTTTGATGGGTGGTGCATTGACTATAAGAATCAGAAAGAGGCCATTAAGAACAAACGTGATGGGTATAGATTACTGTTTCCAGAGGAAGTACTGTATGTACATGTACCCTATCTTGGAGTGGGGATACTTTTTCTCTCTTCAATTTTCTCCCATCATTAAATTTTACTGCCATGTAACACACATGTAGAAAAGTGTATGTATCTTAAGCAAACAGCTTGATGAATTTTCACAAGTCGAAAATTCCTGTGTAAGCACCCAGATCAAGAGACAGAGTATAGGCAGCCATTTAAAATGTCCGATTCCACAGATTTCCATGATATTGCTCTAAAGAGTGCTGTTTAGACTGGCGCTGCCTGCCTTTGTTGTGTCTGTCTTTCCCAAGTGCATCTGCTGCCCTGGTTTCTAATAGTAAAGATGAGTTTTACCTGTTTTGTGTTTTAAATAAATGGATTCCACAGCATATACTCATTTTATGACTGGCTTTTTTTGCTCAGCCTGTTATATTTTAGACTGTTGTCGAGTATCAGTCGAGCCCAGACAGATGACAAGGTATAATTTCAGGAGAGCTTTTTAAATACATCCTTCCCGGCTTCCTGTGACACGAACGACAGTGACTAGAGTGCTCCTTACGTAGCCATTGTGATGTTAGACTGAAACTGGTATTGCCCAGTCATTGGGGTACAACTCTTTGTAGTACACCCTTTTTTCAGCCTGTCTTTGGCATCTTGACCTCTAAACAGCACTCTTTAGAGCAATATCATGGAAATCTGTGGAATTGGACATTTTAAATGGCTGCCTATACTCTGTGCCCTTTTCTTTTTTTTTTACCTGTCCTCAGACATCTCCTTGTCCTTTGTGGAGTTCTTGTTTCTGAAGGAGCGAAGGTGTCAGTGGTATTTGCCTAACCTGTGCCTTGAATGTAGAGAATTCATGAGTGTAGGGAGAATGTAGTTTACCTCATTTATAAGGTCCTGACAAGATACCACCAGACCTCAACTTATATTCAGACTTGTGTGCAGAGAGGGCCTCAGTGCTGGTTGCTGAGCTGAGGTGGACGGGCTGGCAGTAGGATCACCCCAGAGGCAGTTTGACCTCCTTAGGGGCCTGTTCTGCGAGTTTGTTATGTGTCATTCTGTTGTGGGAATTTGTCAGCAGGATTGGCTGTGTGCATGTTTTACACAAAGCCAGGATAAGTCACAGAGGAGAATGTAATGAAGATCATAGTAGACAGCTGATGAGTGAGGACAGTGGTTTGCAGACAGAGAGAACTTGATACAGCATAGTAAGCTGGATAATAGTTCACTGAACCCAGAGCAAGGACAACATGTGTCATTTTTCCAAATGTGAGCTTCACTTGGATTGGCAAGCTTTATTCTACCCCTCACCATTCAAGTATGCCAGTAAGCATCGTATGTGAGGTGACAGTGATCAGCGCGAGCTTTCATTGCCAAATGTCAAAGAGCTATTTCTTTATTGACTATTCTAAGTATTAAATATTAAGTATGCGTTGTTTAATTTATTAGAGAAATATTTATTGTATTAATTTGAATTATTAAGTATAATATGTGATAGTCAATGTATAAACATTGTATAAACAATGTATAGGTAAATAAGCATTAAATGTTTTAGGAATTATATCAGCTCTTCTTGAAGATTTGCCTTACCACTGTATTTGTGTTTTATCTTTTTTAGTAATACATGCACCTAGTTTAAAGAGTCAGGCAATTCTCTAAGACTTGCTATTAGGGAAGAATCTGTACAGATAACCATTTTCCATTTTTTTCTGGATTCTTTAGGTATTTGTGTGTCTCTAAATAAAATGCTTATACTAAGCTTGATTTTTTTTTTTTTTTTTTTAAACTTGAAATGTTATCAATGTGGACATCACACAGTGGAAGAGGGGAGTTAGTGCTCTTCCACTGCCCCTAGGTCCCTTACCTGCACAAATGCTTTTTGTCTCTTCCTCCTCCTGAGCTCCATGGTGGATTCCATATGGTCTGTGTGTAGTGTTACGACCCATAATGGAGACATGGTGTGCTGTGATGGTCCTTCGTTTCCTAACATTTTGTTTTCTGGAATTAATAATTGTTGCTTGTTTATTTTTTTGCGTATCTTTTGCAGATTGCAGTCCTAGTCTTTTGCTCCTTTCTAAGACTTTCTTCTTGTTTATTCAGATTGTTAGGATTTTTCACTTTCCTCTTTCTAAGGAACTCGAAGTCTTCTTTCTGTCCCACTTCTATCACTTGGTTGTCAGCAAGGCTGTTGCTGGCTTCTGTCTGAAGTTTTCTTCTTTATCATCCTGCAGATGCCCTGTGACCTGAGTAATCTCCTGTACCTCTTTCTCTCCATCATTCTTTTTTTTCTTGGTAATCCTTCTGTTTTGAAGGAGCTCAACTTTCACTAACTTCTTGAGAATGGGTGCATGGGATGTAAAGTTTTTGAGATCTTGAATATTCTTTTATCCTAATAAGATTTTTTTCTTTTTTGTCTTGAGTTTTCTGAAGTTTAATTATGTGACTTGGTCTGGATTTTTTTAGGCTTATCCTGTTTGGAGTTCACACAACTTCATGAATCTGTATGTTTGTGCCTTTTGCCTGTTTAGGACATTGTCAGTCATATTTCTATACCACTTTTTAGTGCTGCCCTCTTTCTCCTTTAGGACTCTGACGATACTTTGTTATTCCCCACAAGTCCCTGGGGCTCTCATCATTTTTTTCACTCATCAGTTTGAGTAAATTTTATAAGTTCTCGTTTTCTGAGATTTTCTATTTTATCTATTTTAAGAGAATTTGAAATTGCTTTTTGAAGTCTTTTGATGATGAAAACCTTTTCTGAGGATCCCGGCATCTGCTTCATCTTGCTGTTGGTATCGGTGTGTTTTCTCATTCAAACTGTGAGGTTCTTGGAATGAAGAGTATTTTTGATTGCATCCTGGACACTTAGGAAAGTATGTTAAGAGGTGCTGGATCCTACTTAAATTTTGTATCTTAGTAGGCCTGGTTGGGTTTAGTGTGACGGTCCTGGCCTAGTTGGTAGGCTGTGGTTCTAGTGACAGCTTAGTTTCCAGAGTCCTTGCATTGGTGTCTGGTCAGGCTCATTTACCTGGTGTTGCTGGGGTTCTGCTGGACTGGGATGGATTGGGGGAATTGTGGAAGGGAGATTCTGGGCCTGGACCCTCCCCTGAGGCTAGGTAGAGGGTAGGGGTATGTCTTGTGGGTGGAGGCTGGGACTCCCTGTTTGATCTTTGCTGATGTCACCTGTGCAGGTGGAGTGGTGGTGATCAGTGGGACATGGAATGTCCTACCCAGTAGGAATTTCCTACTCAGACACCCAGGTGCAGGCTGAACGCGCTTACCAGTAATCAGTTCCTGCTGTCTCTTTCCTGTTTCTTTGGCTAGGAGAGCATGTTTTTCTTGGGGATGTCTTTTTTGTTTATTCTTATTGGCATTTCTGGGTTGCAAGCCTCTCCAGCACCCAGTCTGCCTTTCTCGTCTGACATTTCAGAGATCTGCAAGTATGCTTGATCTCTGAGAAAAATGCAAGCTAAAATGTGGTACCATTTCTTCCCATCAGTGTGGCAGAAATAAAATGGCAATATCCAATGTTAGTAAATATTTGAAGAAATAACTCTTAGGTATTATGCTGTCGGTTGGAATGTAGCTTGGTATAAGTTTGTAGAACTTTCTTGAAGGGCAATTTAGAAGTAGATATTAAAATTTAAAATTTGTTATCTGTGTTCTCTGACATGAATTTAACATATAGGCGTATTTGCAAGTGTGTTCAAAGATAGATGTGCAAATAGTTTTAATGAAGCCTTGTTTTGCAGTGGAAAAATACTAGAAATAGCCTTAAATTCAGTAATGGAGAGTTGGTTAAGAAATTAAAGGCATAGCTGTACAGTATAATATTGTACAGCTAGTTAAGACTAAAGTAATTATAAGAACTGCTGGAAAAATGACCACTGTATATTATTATTATTTTTTTTTGTAAATTAGAGATGTACAATATAATTCCATATAAATATATGTGAAAATGTGTGTATGTTTATGTAGGCATAATAATGGGGGACTAAGACCTTTCAGTCTATTAAGACGATTTCCTCTGGAACTGGAGCAGTGTGATGGTGTGTTGGTCAGGGTGCACTGCGGGAGATAGGACACTTAAATATCTCAAATTTAAACATTCCTCTGCTGTTTGGGGCAATTATGCTACATTTATCATAGTAAAATGTAATCTTATTTTATAATGACAGCTATGCTTCATGAACATTTTTTTCCTCTCTCTCCCTTTTAGGACATGACCGATAATAGCAACAGTCAACTGGTAGTAAGAGCAAAGTTTAACTTCCAGCAGACAAATGAAGATGAGCTTTCCTTTACGAAAGGAGACGTCATACATGTCACTCGAGTGGAGGAAGGGGGCTGGTGGGAGGGCACACACAACGGCAGGACTGGCTGGTTCCCCAGCAACTACGTGCGAGAGATCAAGCCTAGTGGTAAGTGGCAAGTTTGTGGAATAGACTGAGGCTTTTCCTTTAGGCGAGAAGGAATAATAAGTGAATATGCTCAATGTATACTAAGTGCTTTTATCCAGTTGAACTTATGTAAATGACCATGGGTTGAGTATTCAGATTCTTCCCCATTCATTTTTTTGTTCAAGGTGATTTTTACTTTATCCTCACATTAAGTTGCTTCTGACCAATTGGCTATAAATTAGAGTTCCCGTGACCTTGCCTTGGGTTTGTTAATTTGCTAGAATGACTCACAGAACTCAGGGAAACACTAGTTATATCTACCAGTTTATTATATAATAAAGGATACAGATGAACAGCCAGATGAAGACGCATATAAGGTGAAGTCTAGAAGACTTCTGAAGGCAGGAGCTTCTGTCTCCCTAGAGTTGAGGGTGTACCACCCTCCTGGCATGTAGATGTATTCACCAACCTGGAAACTTTCTGACCCTGTACTATTGGACTTTTTATGGCTGTTTCATCACATAGGCATGATCAATCATTAACTCAATGTCCAGCCCCCTCTCCCCTTCCTGAGAATAGGGGGTGAAAATATTCCTGAGAATAACTTGGAAATGCCAAGCTTCTAATCATGGCTGGGTCTTTCTGGTGACCAGTCCACCAATCAGGAGCCTACTCAGAGTCACTTCAGCAGAACAAAAGATGCTCCTTGTGCTCTTATCACTTTGGAAATTTTAAGAGTTTTAGCTCTGTCCCACAAACCGGAGGCAGTAACTAATATACATATTTTCTATTTCACAGCCATATTTTGTTTATCCATTCATCTGTTGCTAGATGTTTGGATCATTTCTACCTTTTAGCTATTTTGAATAATGTTACTGTGAACATGGTATGCAGGTATCTGACTCCTTTCAGTTTTTTGGGGTATATATCTAGGAATAGAATTGCTGGCTCATCTTGTAATTGTGTTAAATTTTGAGGAACCACTAAGCTATTTCCACAGCAGCCATACCATTTTGTATTTCTATCATCAAAAGGGTTATTTCTCCACGTCCTTGCCAACACTTTTTTTTTTGATAATAGCCATCTTAATGGGTGTGTGGTATCTCATTTTTGCTATTTTCTGTGGTTGATAATAAAAACTGTTTTTTCATTATTATAAAATTAACAATAGTCAATATTTTTTGGCTGCTTATTATGCTGTGATTATTGTATAAAGTGCCTTTTATCTGTGACCTCATTCAGTCCGCACCACAGCCCCAGAAGACAAGTATTGCCAGGATATTCAGCATGGGGTACAAATAATATTCCTTTAATCTATCTAAGTGTAGAACCAGCTGAGAGCGCGGCACTGGTATCAGGTTGATTGAGATGGAAATGTCATCTTGACTTTAGAGACATGACTGTTGGGAGGTGTGGCTTAGTCTCTGACTCTGACTGACCAGTCTCACTGGTCAGTCTCTGGGACAGCTGGCCCTCGAGCCTGAGGGCTGGGGCAGACTGAGTCCAGGCTCTGATAGCAGCTCTGGGACTAGTTCTGAATTCTGTTGATTCTTCTGGGGGCAGAAGAGCAGCCCTTTCTAGGAGGACTCTGGAGGCGAGAGGAGGGAGAGGGAGGGAGGGTAAGTTGGTCTTTTCCCTTTTCCAGTGAGGGCGAGGTGATCACAGAGCTGGTAATGGGGCAGACCATCAGAAGATCACAGTGCTGGTGTTGTGTCCAGAATAACCAGACCCAACTTGAGTGCTCTTAACCAGGAGACAGTTTATTAGCCGGCGGCTGTCCTTGCAAAGGAGCAGCCTCGAAATGCCAAGATACAAGGTTTTTAAGCCCCAAATCCCATTCCTCATTCTGTCTTAAAGGTCTCTCTTTCTCCTATTCACTACCTGTCAACCCACTGGTCAGGTGTGCAAGCGGGAAGTACAGAAGCAGAAAGCTTGTGTTAGAATGTTATGTTCCTATGGGTGATTGCCTATGTTCCCATGGGCAATAGCCAGTGTTCCCATGGGCGATGGCCAAACAGTAATTTTCAGCTTATATACAATTGATTATTTTTCATGCCACGCAAGCAAGCAGGGTTACACAGGCTAAAATTGGCAGTTAGCATATGAGCTCATTGTTACAAGTTTCATGATTAACAGAATGTGGTTAGGGGTTCCAGAAACTAGGCCTAAGTTATAGACTTCCTTTGTCCAGTTTCAGGTTTTAATTATTCTTTAACCCTTTCACATTTCAGCAGGCTATTACACTGGTAATGGGCACACCATCAGGAGTGGAGCCTGCTGATAGGGCAGATGTCTTTTGAATCTGGGATTTCTTGAATTTTGCTGTGAACGACTCATTTGGATGAGAGTTCTGGTCTGATTTTTGAGTTGCCATAGTAACAGTGCAGATGAATGAATTTTTACTTTTCAGGTATTTCTCCTCATGGAATTTTCAAAGTTAACCTTTGCAAATTACACAGAAAAGATAGTTTGTGGGTCTCACAGATTCTCTTCAGGTGACTTCTAGGAGTTATTTTCAAAAGGATTTGAATGTCATCATTGTCTTCTGTTGGTAGTACAGTTCACCCTTGAACACCAGGATTAGGGGTGCTGACTCCTGTGCTGTCAAAAATCTATAATTTTTAACTCCCCCCTACTAATAGCCCACTGTTGACTGGAAGCGTTACAGAAAGTCTATTAACACGTTTCGTACGTTATATGTATTATATACTGTATTGTTAACAATAAAGTAAGCTAGAGGAAAAAAATTTAAGGAAGTTGCAAGGAAGAGAAAATATATTTATAGTAATTGAAAAAAAAATCCATATATAAGTGGTTCAGTGCAGTTCAAACCTGTATTGTTCAAGGGTCAGCTGTAGTTGGTTTCATAGCGCACTGTTACCCTTTTAAAGTCCAGCAATGCAATATAGACATTTTGCTTTCAAGTTCCATATTTGGACTGTGGGCCCAAGAACCGGTGGGTATAGATGCAGCTCTAAGACGAACTAGCTATTCCTTGTTTATAAGAATTTACTTAGGAGCGACTGCATCACTTGTTTTATCTGAAATTCCCATTTTTGTGTCTTGTGTGTGTGGGGAGAGGGGAGGAGGGAGATTGAGGGAGACCCTTTTAAACAAGTGCATGTAATTGCATTGTTGTCAAAGAGCCCTTTGTGGGGGTTCACCTGGACACTAGTTTTCTTACCCAGGTAACTGCAGAATTTCCTTTTTCTGTTTTTTAAAGTATAAGGAATAACATTTGTTCCTGTTGGTGATCTATTATGTCCATTATTCTTTATCTGACAGTCGAACCAAAGGAATAATCTCTTTTGGAAATCACACATCCCTAGTGTTCTCAGATTACCTGGATATATTCTAAGGAAAGTAATAGTCTGATTTTAAATGTCGGCATTTGAGACAGAAAGACGCGAAACCACATTTTTATCATATTACTTTATAACAGCTGGGAATAAAACTCTAGGATCACAGTAACATTTCAGTATTGCATTTTTTCAGTAATTTATGTGGCTTTGTGATTTTGGATTAGATTTTCTTTTTTGAAGAGTGTGTTTAATGTAAGCATTGTAATTTACAGTGTAATTAATGCTTCATTTTCTGTAAACAAAATGTGCCAAGCCCCAAACATACAGACTCCTCTAACTGGTGTTAGGATCATTTTCTTGTGAAACAAAAACACAGATTTCCTTTAAATTATGAGTTTCTCTTCTGTGTTAAATTTTGATTTGATTTACAAATATTTTTATTAAATAAAACTGAGGTCTGCCTTTAAGGTGATCCATTTGGGCTGCGTACATCCAGGTAAGTTCTCAAGCAAATCCAATTTCTCTCTTCCACTGCTTGGGGAATTATAAGTGGCTGTGATTGTCTGCCCTCTTATGGTGAGAGAGGGCAGTGTTCTGGTCCAGCATGTAATCGTGCCTTTGACCTGCATGTAGTTTCTTCTTTGAAATTGTTCCTCTTTAAAGATGCATATCTTCCACGAGTTTGCATAAGGATATTCCTAATGCTTACTGCAAATGCACTGTATTTTCTTCTAGAATCTTTACTGTTTTATGGAAGTTATATCATCATTACTTAGCATTTATTTTCTGTGTATTTTTTGGATATATAAAACCCATGGATTTCGATTGTGTTTTATACACACTTATATGTTTTACACACACAATAGAGAGTTTCTTAAATTCAAAGGAGGTAGAAGGAAAGAGAAGCAGCAAGGCTGGCAGTGGTAGTGAGTGACGCTGGTTGGAGCTGTCATTAAGTAAACATGGAGGTAGGTGCTCAGTCCTCAGTGCATGAGGTGCATGAGGTTGGAAAGTGAATACCACTGATGGCCAAGCTGGCTTGGTGAACAAATTGTGTTCCATATCCCCACGAGTACAGTTTCATGTGTGCATACACATTTACCAGGTTTCTTTCCAATGATTTTTTTATGGCGCATCGAGTTTAATTTCTCTCATTTTGGGGCAGCTCATCTGTGTACAGTAAAGGCATTTCTTTTAAATCTCGAGGTGATGAGTAATAACTATCCTTGCCAGTGATGAGAGAACTTAAATGTGACTGTTATTGGCTAATCCACAGATACTTTAATGAGAAGTCACACTGCCACTTCCTGAGTTTGTCACTTTGAATATTTTCTGTTTATTTTTGACATCAGGAAGTGACATATAATGCAAACTGTTGGACACAGTCATTAACTTAGCTGTGAAAGAACAGCGTTTGATATAATTTGCAGGGAAAGGGACAAAGGTAACATGGAACCTTGTTTTTCTTTGTATCGCTTGAAATAGTGTTTTCTCTAGCCCTCACTTTTCTTTGGTGTGGAATAGATTTGGATGTATGTGTGCACACGTGCACTTATGTATGTGTATGTGCGCATATGATATTAAGTTTCTGAAAACACCCAAGATGTGGCTGCATTAGAGGATGGGCCTCTCCATACTATCTCTTCCAGATGCAGAATTTTTAATAGGTGGGAAGAGCATAAAGTGTAAGGTTTACATCTCTGAGGCATGTGTGAGGGAACCTAGCATAATGTACAAAAGGTAGAAGTGAATATTCTTCCACATTACCAATAAACGAGCACTCACCAAACACCAATGTTACTGGGTGCTGTGGGGGATGTTCTGTGAGTGTGGCCATATCCCAGTGATGGTGATTAAACATCCTCAATTTCAAGGACACATTCCATAGGTCAACTGATTTGTAATAATTTGGGATCAGGCTCGATAGTCTTTCAGAATTAGATATAACTTTTTAAAGTTTTATTTTTATTTTAAAAACATTGTTAAAGTAACAAAAGCGTGTGAAAACCAGGTAAGTAGGATGAAAGAGCTTTGTTAAAAGCAGAAGTCTCTTGCTCCCTCCCCTTCCTTCGTGTCATTACCCGCCGGGGAGAGCCTCTCCTGAGCAGCCTTCCTCCTGTATGCTGTGACTTCTCTGTGTTAACTTTATCTCTTGCCTCCTTGTCTTCCCCTTCTGTCCTTGCAAGCTTTTTTTCTACATATTATTTTGTTCTCCTGTTCCCATTATTAGTGATGCTGAGTAATACACTTCAGTCTTAATAATGTTTCTCATGGACCTTTGGTAGTTACCTCTTGATGCTCCATTTTGTAATACAAGGTCTTACCTTGACGTTTTTCTACCCTTCAATTCTGCCTTTGTTCAGCTACATTGTCCATATCACATTGTCAAGGTTGTCATGATTGCATTTGGTTTTAAAGCCACAGCCAACATTCAGTAAATATTTACTTGAGTAACCACTGTTGTAGGAACTGGGAAAATAACAATGAATAAGACAACAAAGTGTCTGATGTTTACCTGAAGTTCCCTGAATAGAAAATTAGACTAGATGATTGAGAGAGTGATTGTTCTCTCTGCTGGCATTGATAACAAAAAGAGGAGGGGATTTTTACAGAATTAAAAAGACCGAAGCATAACAACCACATGCATGTATTTGGTTCCCGATTCACAGACACCAAAGACAAAAAGTTGTTACTATAACAGACAGGGAAATTTGAATATTGACTAGGCATTAGATAATACGAAGGAATTATTAATTTTGTCAGGTGTGGTAATGGCCTGATGCTAGGTCCCTATGAGTAAGATGGACATTAAAGTATCGATGAGTAAAATGGCATAGTTTCTGGAATTTACTGTATAATGCTTCCGTAAAAGAAAAAGGAGGGATATTAAGATCAAGTGAATGTCGATAACTGTTGAAGCTAAGTAAGAGTATATATTTGTGATTATTCTCTCTACTTTTATGTATGTTTGTAAATTTCTATAACAAAGTTATGGAAAAAAACCAACACAATTACAACACTTTCAGACAAGGTTCAAGATTGTTTACTACTAGCAAATTATCATTAAAGAGACTAGGAAGACATATAACAAGATGACCGAAACCTAATAGGCAGGGGTATAAGATAGAGGAGACTATGACAGCAAAGAAACTGGTGAAATTAACCCATGTAGAATGAATGTATGACATGAACACTAGGGTGGATTTATAAATGAGATGACAACAATAATATGGAAGATAAGAAGAGGAAGTTAGAATTAGGAATTATTCTCAGGACTGAGTCCTCTGAAGGAGGCAGGCCGTAGGGATTAACTCTAGGCTTTGTGGGGTCAGTCATACACATGGATGAAAAGGTAACCATAGAACAGGAAGCAGTGGATATGTAACTTTCAGACAAGTTAGAAGAGGAAAATAAGGAATAATAAAAACTTACTTCAAAAAGAGGCAGAAAAAAAGTGTGTGATTGTTGAATCTTAATTTATTGCAGGAAAGGGAAGAACTGTTGCTTCAATTGGTCCCTGGAAATGTAGCACCAAATTATGTTGTTTCTGTACCCCTCAGTGCACTTTGTAGCCATCAGACATACCACCTCGCAGAACCAATGATAGAAAGATGCACACTCCACAAAACCCATGCACAGAAAGAACTAGCAATAGACAGACATATCCCTCCCCATAGAACCAATGATAGAAATGTTTTTCCTTTACTATACTCCTAAGCTACATGTGTAGCTTACAATTTAGTGTTCTTTGTTGACAACAGTGAAGCATGATCTGTCACATTTTTAGCCTGAACTAGGGGAACAAGCTGAGTGTTGCACAGTTGTGAAGGACGCCAGCTCTGACCCCAGGGAGCTGAGCATGAGAAGGAGATACAGGCACTGTGATGCCTCCCTTGCCATGTGCGGACCTTCTGTTCACCTTCCCCTTTTTAGTTTGTATTTTCAGTAGAAGTTGCTGGGTCAGCAGTTTTGGGCTCTGTGGTGGGGTGGGGGGCGGGGAGGGAAGGGGGGTGGGGCTGCTGCATTTGTTTGTCTCTAGTGTTGATCAGTAAAACTACATTACATTTTTATTTCAGAAAAGCCCGTATCTCCCAAATCTGGAACATTGAAGAGCCCTCCCAAAGGATTAGATACGACTGCCATTAACAAAAGCTATTATAATGTGGTAAGTAATTGCAAAACATTTTATGAGACTAACTTCTTTTTTTGAATATCTCTAAAACTCAGCAATGTGGAATATAGGTAAAGTACTTTGAGTATGAAGAAGGATAGAAAACTTAAAATCATGCATTATCTACCACACAGATATAACCACCGTTAATTTGGCAGATTTATAATATCTATAATCTTATATTTTTGTTTTAATAATATATGTATATGTGGAATTGTACCTTGTTCTCATCACGTAACTTGGTAATATGATTATATCTCCATATCATTACAAGTCTTCAAAAACAAGATTTTAAAAAGGTACATGATGTGTTTTAAAGATTTTATGCACATTGAATGCCATTATACTCATATTTGGAGTAGATTATAAATGCTTTAGATCAATATAGTTTCTCGTTTATTTTGTATCTTAACATAGTCTTTCCTGGGATGGATGTGTGTACATATATATGTATATAAATATATTAAATACCATGAAATTAGAGGAGAGTGTCTAGGCATTGTACATAGTAAAGATAAGTATTACACAAAAATAAAAAACACACAGTA